TTATATTCAGCCCATCTTATTTTTCATTAGCTACTTCATCCAAATACCAAAGCTCCTGATTCAAACTATAATGTTTATAAACTCAAATTAATGATATGATATGAATATCATTAAAATACCAACTACATGAAACAAATAAGCCAATTTCCCAAAACGTCAAACTGTTCTTTTAAGTCCACACCTTCCCTCACCTTAACACCTTATCTGCCGAGTCTAGCCTATCAGCTGTGGTAATTGTGGACGCAATCCTGCTTCTCCCACCTTTAAATTGTCATGTCCAAGTCTTTAAATGAAGTCCATTGACACAGTTTGAACTCTGTGGGGACGTGTGAGCTAAGGCGTGCACACGGGCAGATGTAGGGCGGGTGAACCAAGTCAAGCCCTTGGAATGAACAAACCCCCATCACACACATCACACGCAAACACCAGCCCGGCATTAGCTCACTGGAATGCCACGCTGTGCACTTTTCGTTGTGTGACTCTTTTATGGTTTTTGCATTTTTACCAAAAGAGAAAAACACTGAGCTTCATCAGTGAATTCCGCGCGTGTTGATAAACACATTGAAGCTTCCATTCAAACCGGACCGACAGCTGCTGCTTCAGGACAAGATGGAAAACCACAAAGGCTTTTCATCTGAAAAGATCTTTCGGCTTGATTTCACCTGGATGGCAAACGACGTAGATGTAGACCTGGATATAACCTGCAGCTGTTTCACTGGGATGATTATCATGTAGATATGGATATTTATGTTTCAAACAACAAAATCGTGTTCATGGATAATGAATGGTTAATTTACCCTGGAATACTAAGCAGTATGAAATATGAACGTTTTCCAGAGGTTCATATTTCAGTCTGACCAGTATAGTGCATGAATGGATCAGTGTGTGTGATAAAGGAGAAGTTGACATAAAAACCCCTCTCAGATACTGTGAACCGATCCTACTCTAGCATTAAAAGTTGGTCTGTTTTCCGGTAACATGAGTGCAGGAAATATCCTAAAATCTCTGTCTCTTCTAAGAATATTTTGAGCATCTCTGGAAAATCTTTGATGTCAGTTAAAACAGTCAGTTAGAATTCAGTTAATGATACCATGGTAACATACTGTAGGTACAGTTAAAGTCACTTCACACACTGATGTTTAACATGTAATTCTGACATGTTAAATTCTAATGTTGAGTGTTGTAGCATTTAGCATGTTAGCATGGTAACCTGTGCACAGTTAATAAAAAAAAAAAAAAAAAAAAAAAAAAAAAAAAGACAACGCACCCTGACAGAGTTGCAAAATGGGAGGGGCCACAACTCAGCCAACATTAGCTCATTACCGCTCAGCCAATAGACTTTACACTGGGATGACGGCACACAAGTAAAACTTTCCCCCATTCTGTATTCCCATATATGGGCCAGACCTGGACCGAGGACCTGGGCATATGTTGGGCCAGATGTTTCATTTTACCATCTAGGGGTAACCTGTTTTACTTCAGACCAACAGACTGACCAATGGACTCCCTAATTCTGCTGATGGGGCTTAAAACATGAAGCAGCTGTGATTTCACCCATTATTTCTTAAAAGACATGTTGCATCCTTTCAGTTTCCGGACTTCAGCTATTGAGACCAAAACTTTTTATGGAGAAAGATGTGGAATTTATACATAAAAGTATAAAGATTATCTATATCACCAAAACAAAACTGGAGCCAGCTGCTAGCGGTCATTAGAGAAACTGCTTCTTAAAGCATTTTACATTGTTTTCCTTTTTTTTTTTTTTTTTACATTTAGCCATATGTCTTCATTTGAACTTTTACAGTGGCTGTGTTTAAATTACATCCATTGTCCCTCTACCTTAATCACCATGTTGCATGTTATGTGAAGCTCCAGGAGGTTTTCAGCATTTCCCTGCACCAGTGTCACTCAGGCAGATTCCTGTATATTTATTGGACTTGGCAGTGACTCGAATCCTGATTTTGAAGCCTATTTCTGGTCTAATTGAGAGCTGCTGTCATATGTTGGTTCACTGCCACCTCTTGTAAAAAAAAAAAATACTGAGGAGGAAAACGTATTGGTACCATCTGTGGGGAGCACGACATAGCTTATTTATATAATTCACGTGATGACAATGGCCAGTGCAGCGCAGGTTAATTTAAAGTTAGAATCTGATAACTGAGGAGTTTGTGGGAAGTTCAGAGTGAATGAATTAAAAGAGCTGCTCGAGATCAAGAACGCGCTCCTCTCAAACACAATAAAAATATATAGAGCGTGATCAAAACACAGTGGATCTGAGTTTAAGCTGTAAACCGTTCTCAGATGGCTGCCTGAAGCAGAGTTTATCTCTTCGGTTGAGTTAAATCTTAAGGGGTGGAGACAAATATACACATATTGCAGCGTACGTGAACACAACACAGTGATAAAACATGAATGACAACTCCTTTTTTCATTCATGTGAAATTATTGTACTGATAAACTATCATTGCAATGTGCTTTATTCCTGTATGTAAGACATTCATTCATTCATTATCCATACCGTTTTATCCTTTTAAAGAACATGCTAACTCCACACAGAAAGGCTCCTGTAAAAGACAAAAAATTGCTAACCAACAATAACAGGCAGCTAATGAAACTCAAACGTGGTTCTGCTCTGTTCTCAAAATACAACAGGAGAGAGCACAAAGCCCAAGTTTAGCATTTTTTCACTTGATGTTTTATTAATTCATTATTTTTTAGTCATTTTAAGGCTCAAAGTGTTTGCTGAGTGTCGCCTGGTTAGCTAACCAACAACAACAGCTAGCAAGTGAAAGTGGAACTTGGTCCTGTTCTGTCCCAGGCATGGCTGTATTATGAGAACGGATCTCAAAATGGTGCCCATTCAGTCCTTTAAGAATTGCCCACCTAGCACATACTCCAAAAAAGTGTCTGGCTTCCTGGTTACTCCCATCATGCCTCTGGGCTATGAGGACGAGCGAACTGCATTCTGACACTGCGGGTTCATGCTATGCTATAGCTAAAACCACAGATCCAGTTCTGGAACAGGATGCCACTTCTCATACGTTTGGATAAGGACCAGTGCCGCCCCTGCGCCTCAGACAGTCTGCACATGCCACTGCTATGAGGAGTGTTTTATTGTTGAACTATAGATTCTAGGAGAGATGTGATGTTAATGTGACAAAGATAGCGTACGTCCGCTTGTATCACCCAACACACTAACAGCTTAAATAAGAGGGTGAAGGCCACAGTCCACTGACATTTGACCAATGCAGTGACAGCTTTGACTCTAATTGGCCTCTGTACGTTACACATCTGCACGTAGTAACATGAATTACAGTCTCCTGTCCAGAAATTAGTAGTGTCACTTATAAAGCCTTTCCCTTTTCTCTTTCATTACGCTCAGATTTTATTAGAGCTCCCTTTTCTTCACATCCAGAGAGCCCTCAGAAATCTGACAGCCATTACACAGGAAAGCACTGCTAAATTCTTTACTGCTATTAGTGGTTGTAATTATAGAAATGATCTCAAACTGACTGACTGAACAAAGGGACGGAGGTGGGTCACAAACCGCCTGTGCGCCCGACTGTGGAGCTTGTGCATTTTATCTTACAGCTGCAAGTTTTAACTTTCTGTATCACACACTCCTTCCAGCCTCATAAAACTACTCTTCACACACATCGCATCATAATTATTACTGTTTTTTACCACATTTATTGCAATACTTTTCCATGCGGGGAAATATTTTCTTTGTCTCTAGGAGCTGGATGAGTAGACTGATTAATCTCAAGTCTGTGCGTTAAATACAGAGCTGGAGTGAGGAGGCGGTTACAGCCGAACTGTGCAGACTGGAAACAGCTCAAAAATCCATCTTCCAGCACCTTTAAAGCCCCTGAATTATCACGTTATATCTTGTTTGTTTAATCCGCACAAAAACAGAAATGTAAAAGACACAATTTGTGGTTTTAGGAGGAGTCACATGCTGGAACTTGACAAATGTATAAATCCGCCCACAACTGTGAAGCGTCTCAGCTGGGTGTCTGGCAGCCTCACAGTTTTAGATACAGGGAGGAGTTTATATTCTGCAAGTGGCGGATGTTTTATAAGATGATTTTCTTCACTCATTATTCCCCCACCTGAATCTTACTCCCAGCAGAGTCCCTGTGTAGTGATTTTTTTTTCTATCTCCAAATATAATGATTACACTTCTTCTGATAAATGGATGAATGGATGAAGTTTGGTTAACTATTTAAAACCTTATCTGAAACATGCTGTTTTTGAGATACAGTCTTCCTTTAGAAAAATAAAACTTTTACATTTAAGAAAAAAGAATTTAAAAACTGGGACTATATTTTTGGTGTAAGGTATATTTTAAAATTATGTCTATGTCCCTGTTAAGCTAAAATCACGTTGCTTTCTGTCACAGCAGTGTTGTTCCTAACAATGACTTTATTATTATTCTCCTCCTCATAAAAAGGATTTAGAGAGACTTGTAGTGTGTTTTGTGGCTGGCTGGTTAGTTTTTACTGATTGTGTTCTTGTAACACTCTTATAATAATCCTATAATATGTCCATAAGGTGCTGGAGTGTGCCAGCACATGCTGTGTGACCGTGTCCTGGTGTTTAATGTGGGAGATTGTGAGTAATTATTAGATGTTTCCTTCCAAAATTTAATCTCGGATTCTTCGTCTTTATAAAAATCAAAACGCACAGGTGGAGGTGGGAACACAAAGCCACCATCATCTGTTTTGAGTTGACTGGCACGCGGCAGAGAAAGAGTTAAGAGTCACGTGGTAGCGGGTGGTATTGTCAGCCCCGGGCTGTTAAAAAAAAAAAGCGTATGTGGAGGAAAAAAAAAAAAAAAAAAAAACACTTGAGGAGAGAACAAAGAAATCAGAGTCTATTTAAAGAGAAGTCGCCCCCGATCCTGCAGCCGTGTGACTCCCGGCACTGCGCACCGCACACAGCTGCGCCAAAAACCCCAGCCTGCCTGTGCACCACCACGGCTCCCGACTGCGGTGAGGATGCGGACTTCTCTGGTCGTGTGCTGCTGCGTCTTTGCGCTGCAATGCCTCCCGAGCACGCTTTGTGTTCCAGTGCGGGGATCCGGCAGGTACAAAGTGGCACCGGTGAGTTGGAGGACAATTGTTTTTCTTTTTTTTTTTTTTACTTGTTGCAAAGTCGAAGCAAAAAAAATGAATTAAGAGAAAAGTTTCAGAAGTTTCGGAAACTTTTTGATGTTTTGCTGCAGAACGAGTCGCTTTGGTTGAACTTTGTTACTGTTGCACGCATGAAAACTGAATTCACCTTTTGCATTTTGAAGTAATCTGCACTGTTGACTTACTTCATTTCTTACTCCTGCTGCAAGTGGCTCCCCTACCCCCTGAACACACACGCATGCACACGCGCACACACTCGCGCGCCGTTATGTTTTTATGCAGACTTCGGAGCAGAAAGAGTCAAAATAAATAACATCCTCTTGACTGCATGAAGTGTAGAGATTTAAGATTAGGTAAATCTTCACTTTCCTGCAGCTGCAAGTGCCTCCTGTCCCCTTCACGGACGCGCACACGCACGCCCTTTTCCTAGTAATCATCAGGACCAATGACACTAATGTTGTAATTATGAAAATGGCTATTTTACGCGCGCACAGGAGCTGACCTGTCACTGTAATTAGCCCGGGAGCTGCTCTTACTTTGAAGAAATTACTATCATCACTATTTATTTTTTGTCTGCTCAGCAGCACTGGAGGCAGTCATGACTTGGCAGCCGTACCTGACGTGCTCTCCCCTCCGTGCACGCAGGATGACAGCAGAGTGTTTTGGTTTTTGCCCAGGTCTGATCTCTGGGGAGGAGAGCGCGAGAGAGAGAGAGAGAGAGAGAGAGAGAGAGAGAGAGAGAGAGAGGGGAGAGGGAGGAAAAAGGGTTGCTGAGTTCCCCTGTCTGCAGGGCAGGAAGCAGTAATAACAGGTCTTTAAGGCATTTTGTCAACAACACCATAAAAGAGAAGGGTCCAACACATGGACCCGTCCTGCAGGCTTCAGTGGCATGTTACAGTCACACTCCCGTGTTTTGGTGGCTTTTCTGACCTATTTTCACTTTGCTTAATGAATTATTTATTAATCATTAGTCTCACTTTCGTTTACAGCTGTTTTGCACACAGCTGCAGCTCATTATTTCATACTTTTTACTCTTAATGTCTTCCTCATATGTTCTGGCTGTGTAATCTTGGATTCCATAGTATTTACTGTATTTAATTCACGTTTCCCTTGTTTAAGATCTTTCCTGTTTGTAACTACTTCCTGGAACAAAACAGTTAAACTTCATTTACACAGCAGTAGGCTGGTTTAGCATGCATTATCTCGGGTTGTTCTGTATACAGGTACACAGGAAAATAAATAATCCTTCAAAACAAACAGGCTGGCCTGGATAAGTAGTTACAGGGAATGGTGTGGCCATTACAGAGAACAGTTGGAAATTTCAGAGAAGGATGAGATGATGATGACAACAGTGATTATTTAGGTAAGATTGCAGATAATTTTAGGAGACCAATGTGCACAAGTGAATATTTTTAGTTTGTTCCTGATGCAGCATCATGCATACATAAGATTAAATAAATAAATACTAACTAGTTGGAGCAGTTTATCCTCCAGTAGAGGAGGCTCTCTGAGTCAAACAAACAACAGGATGTTTTTCAGCTGGTAAGCACCACAAAGTCCCATGCGAATGATTCACACAGGTTGACTTCGCCCCAACTTAATGCTAAGATAAGACGACACAGTATCAGCCCATAAATGGAAATATCCAATAGCTGTGATGTGGGGAGCGTCGGCTGCAACGATCCAAACCAATCCAGAAAACTGATGCAGCAGCTGGGACGTCTCACAACATCTGACAAAAAAGACGAGATATTTTGCAGCATCTCACAGAGTTAAATAAGCTCAGTGGTCTGTTCTGGATGTAATGTACTTCCATCAAGGGATAGTTTCAATAAAGGAAGAAGCAGGGAGTTGATTTCATCAGATGTTGCATAACCAGCTAAAACAATAAAAGTGTTCACATACGTGATCATTTACAAGAGAAAATAAATGGCGAGGAGAAAGAGGAAAGATGCTACCATGTTTGTCATGCAAGTCGTTGAGCTTTGATTGGCCAGGATCCAACATGTCAGCTGTGTCTCTACACTGGTTCCCAATCTGAGGGTCAGGATCCCCACAAAGGGTCACGAGATAAATTTAAGGGGGTCACGAGATGATTAACAGAAACAGGAAAGCAGAAAAAAAATCATTTCCGCTGCAGTTACTCTTATTTTTTCAGACTTTCCTCTAATCTTTACTTTTTACTGATAAATTACTGGATAATTTTGCTTCTTGAACTGGTCACAACTGGTGGACACATGCAAGTGGTGAGGAGGGGTCACAAGAACATTAATTTCAAACAGGTGGGAACCACTGAGATTGTGTTTTTCTCTTGGGTTGCTTCATTAGTGTCCCCCGTGTTCTTGTGTTTAATTCACAGTAATCAGGAGTCAGGCCGCTGTAGTGTTGTGACACATCTCCTGTCGACAGTGAGATTATCTGATGAGCTGAAAACCAGGTTTCCATACATGAAAAATGACTTTCCCAGCAACACATTATCAGAGCTATGTTGCACCTGGGATGACAACTTTGTTATGTCTGCTGGTCATTTCACTGGGAAGTCTAATCTGTAGTTTTGCCAATTTGTTCCCCCCTTGTTAACAAAAGAGTGAGTGATTACACAGGCCTGGACAGGCCTCAGTGTCTGTGGCATTCATGGCACACACACATAGTGTGTGTTTTCTCTCCGGAGTAAAACAGGGGTGGGGGGTGGGGGGCGGTATAAGCTAACTTGTTTGGGTATTGAATAAAACCTTTACATTTGTGTGTTGTCCCATCGCCTTGATGTGATTGGTCAGGGAACCGTGAGAGCAAAGGTGACATCAGAGCTGCTCTGGGTTCCCATCGAGCAGATCTAGGTCACAGCTGCGCCAGGCTGTGAGTGGGAAACACGACAGGGGAGGGGGGAGAGGGGGCAGTTAAAAAGCACATGCACCCCTCCTTCATAAAGTTAATCAGATGCTTTTGTTAATTAGCACAGGGATGGCCTTCAGCCTGGTTCTGAATCCTCCACCAACAAGGTGAGAGGAGGGATCCAGTCAGGATGGTGTCGGTACTTGAATTTATTAAAGTGCACATCTCTGAGTTTCTGGATGGCATCTTGACCAATTTCACATCCCCATCTCTTGAGACGAGACGGCAGATAGCTGGAGAAGTTAGCAGTTATAATATCTGGTCTTCAAGGTAAACCAGAGTTTTTAGCGGACGGGATCAAGAATGGGGGACGTCGTCTTCCGATGTAGCCAGCTAGCTGCTTAGCTACGCAAAGAAGCACCTCAGACAGACGGTGTGGATGAGATGGACGCAGGGGAACAGACTGTTGTCAGAAATAACAACTCTCAAATCGACATTTGATCATTGTGGAGAGGCAGCTGCTGCCACAGCCTCTGAGCCACCTGTGCTGATGGGAATGTCAATACTTCTGCAGGTATTTGGTCATAAAGCAAAGTATTGAACTCCAGACGAAAACTCAGAGAACCACCAAAGTAAATACAGTTCATCTTGCGGGGGATATGAATGTCTGAAATTTAATGACAATCCATCCGATAGCTGTTGACATATTTCAGTCTGGACCAAAGTGGTGACTGACTGAGAGCTAGCACGCCTCAAAACTGTTGTTTAAGTATCAGACATAGACTTTTAAACTCCAGGTGCTGGTTGTACAAACACCTTAAGTTAAGATTTTCCTTAAAGTCTGAGTTAAAGTTTCCTTAAAATAAAAACAGTTGCAAAAAACACCCTCTTCTTCTTAAACTTCAGGTTGTTCACTTAAGTTTAACTCACTAACACACAGAAGACGTTAGCAACCAAAGTGAGATAAAAAACTAAACGGTAAACGTGACTCTATCTCAACTGCAACATGGCCGAGTTTAACGCTTCTCAAGAGGAGTCTGCCCACGACCAGGAGACACTCTTAACGATGAGGATTTGATTTTACATCACAGATTCCACCGACACTCAGTTTATGATTTGTCCGACCGTCTAGACCTGGATCTACTTTCCGCTCTACGGTTTCATGCCACATGATCTTTCCGGTCAGGTTCAGTCGAGGTATTTCATGTCCACTCGCCGAGTTGAAACACTCGTACGCCCGCTGAACACCGTGGTGAAGTTGCCATCAAAACGACAGGAGGATGAGATAGCATGGTATCTATTACTCCCCCGGGGACGTGTTCTCATTAATAATCACAATCAACAGTGAAATCGTCAGTAAGTCGTAGCGCAGCCAGACGGACAGAGGATCTGCGAGTCGAAGAGCTCGGCTCAGAGTGTTATTGCGCCAGGAAAGATAAGAGATTGAAGCAGATGCCCAGATGGTTTATATCACCTTTCGCTGCCAGGTGTTTCTGATTTTCTGATGATATATTGGATTAGGAGATTAAGAAGGGAGATAACGAGATATTTGTTGATGAAAGATTTGTACATCCTCCCTCTTGTCTGGCAACAATAAATCCTCTCTCACTGTAAGCAACAGTTTTTTCAGCGAGCACACCCTTCAAATTGAAACCTTATCTGTCTCCTCAAGTAAACAGTCACTTATGACTTACTTCCCATCATCCGGATTTACTCTTATTATGTTGAGACTGTTTCTATTTGACAGTTGGATACTAGAGCTGCATGATATTAGAAAAAACTGACATTACAATATTCTTTTTTCTGTTTTTTCTTTATGCAACCACATCTGTTTTCTTCCTGTTCCTCGCTCATTTTCAGGTTGTTATAACATGTTGGAGTTAATTTGCACCTCGATGCGATGTGAATATTGACGATGCTGAAACAATATATTGTGCAGCTGCAGAAACAGTCAGTAAACCAGTTTGTATTTTGCTTTAAACGTAAATGCAGCTTCAGTCTGGGATGTTCAGTGAATCTCTGCAGGAATTCTTGGATCAACTTTTATCATTTCCTTTTTGATAAGTCCACTTTCCCCTCGACCAGTTATACATTTCCTACTGCTCTTACTCAAAACACATGTTGTGTGGACGCAATGC